AGATGTGCTGAACAAAGTGGAGGAGATGCTGCAGGGGGAGAGGGCAGCCTGGGCCTTGCTACTACTTGGATAGAGGCTAGGCCCTCTCAGAGACTCCGGGCTTCATTTCCCCTCCAATCCAGTTCACGTGGCTGCCAGGTCCAATTCCTGAAGATCTAGTCCCCCTCCTGCTCAAAGACCTTCTATGGCTCCCCAGTACCCACAGGACAAGAGGACCAAACCCATCTTTCCCTTTTGGTCAAAATCCAGCCCCTTCTCCTAGCCCTCAAATTCAGCCCTTCAAAGGCCTCCTCCTCCTAGAAGCCTTTCCTGATACATTTGAGTCTCCTTAGAAGGAGCTGGTTCAATTTTCCCTCTCCTGAGGCCTGGCACTTTCTGCCTGAGACCCATTATGTACTTCGTCCCAGTATTGTCTCACTTGGAGCTAAGCTAGGGATCTTTTTTCTTTTTTCTTTTTTTTAAGATTTTATTTATTTATTCATGAGAGTCACACACAGAGAGAGGCAGAGACAGAGGCAGAGGCAGAAGTAGGCCCCATGCAGGGAGCAGCCCGATGCAGGACTTGATCCCGGGACCCCAAGATCACTACCTGAGACTTAGGCAGACACTCAACTGCTGAGCCACCCAGGCATCCCTGGAGCTAGGGAATCTGCCATTGTCTCTGGCTCACCTCTAGCCTGAGACAAGACTAAACACAGTTTTCATTCTTGCCTTAAAAAAAAAAAAAAAAGTTTTTTTTCATTACCAAGTTAATACACATTTGTAAAGAAAATCTAGAAAATACAGAAAAGTACAGAAAAGCACAAGGCAGAAAATTATACTACTTATCCTTATGCTCAGAGATGACCGCTATTTCCATTTTGCAATCCTATATTTCTTTCCAGTCTTTTCTATATGGATTTTTTTCAAAATGTGGGAGTGTACCGGCCGTACTGATTTGTAAACATGTGTTGTTTCATTTTATAGAAGATGCACCTCCAAGATACAGTTTCTTTTGCCAGCACGGTCATGTTGACTCCTTCAATAACAGCCTCCGGGTTTACTGGCCACCTGCTGTGTGCCAGGCACCACACGAAGGGCTTCTGATGCTTTTACTCTCTCAGCAGCCTTGGGAGGCTGAAAACTTCATAGAGGCAATTGCCTGTGACCATGCAAGTTATAAAGTCAGGATCCAAGCTCAGTGCTGGGTGACTCCAGAGTCCTGGTTCTCACTCACCAGGCTGCAGGCTCCCTCTCCAGAAAACGCTTATACCCCAAGTGAAATTCTCCGTGTGAAGGGGTTCACAGACTTCCTGAAGCGTAGCTACAGACCCCAAGTCAGGCAGAACAGAGGGCCCTGGGCTCAACCCCCAGCCTTCCAATCTCTTGGCTCTGTGGCCTTGGACCTGTCAGGACCCCTCTCTGTGGCTCAGCTTCTTTACCTGTGCAATGCAGACACCTGCCCCGCAGGGGTGCAGGAGGCTTATATGAAATCACCCAGGCCACATGCCCTGCCCACAGAGCTCTCGACAGCCTCCCGTCCCGGGAAGGTTCCCCCGCAAAACGTCCCCTGGGCTGGCACAGGTGACACGCTGCGGTGCGGAGGAGCTGGCCCACCAGGCTGCAGGAGCTCCACACAAGGAGCTCAGGCACAGACAGCTCTGGAGAGAACAGCAAAGCCCTTTGAAGGGTCCCTCCCGATATTACAAAGCCTCTCAAACCTGGAGGATTTCCCAGATAAGGTGTCCTAAGGCTAGGACAAAAGTCTGGGATGGCAAGTGGAAAGACAGGACCATTGAAAACCTCACTGGCGCCTGGTTCCCTCGGGTGGGCCCCAGCTGCTGACGCTGGAGCTTGGCAGGCACACTTGGTGGGCCCTCCAGGGGCTCCCCTCTCCCCCTCTCCCCCTCCTCCCCTCTCCCTCCTGGGGCTGGGAATGCTCTCACCTAGCTGTGGCTGTGCTCCCCACTCCCCCGAACAGTCCCTGGCTTCACTGTCCCTCCGTGAGCAGCTGTGTCTGCCGAGCTGCCCGCCACTTTACCTTCCCGGTGGCTGCTTTCTCCTCCACCGGCTCCCCGATTTGGATGGGGGCTCCCTGTTAGACGTGTCATCTCTAGATCCCTGTCAGCTATTGCCCTGCTGGAATAGGGTGTCAATGAATATTTGTTAAATGAATGATCCAAAGAAAAGTCATACCGAGGACAGAATTCAACCCTAAGCTGGTGCCAGAGGCTCTACTGGACAGCAGATCCCTGAATCACTGAGAGAAGGGGGTCATAGCCTCAGCAGGAGGGGTTCGGAGGATCCCCAGGCCCCTGGAGGCAGCTCCTTGGGATGGAGGCCCCGGGGAATGAAGGGGCTGCCCACTAGGTCATGGGGTTCTCTTAGAGAGCAGGATCCACAGCCTGATAGCCCTGGGACAGGCCAGCAAATCCCTATGAAGAAGGGGAAACTGAGGCCCAGGAGGTTTGAACCCAGCTACGGAGGGGAAACAGGTCACTACAGGACCTGGGCTTGAAACACTCTCTGTTGCTTAAGGGCTGGCTAGGTGATCTCTAGCAATTGGCTTTTTTTTTTTTTTTTTTTAAGATTTCATTTATTCATTTGAGAGAGAGAGAGAGAGAGAGAGAGAGGATGGGGGGGAGCAGAGAGAAAGGGAGAGAAGCGACACCCTGCTGAGTGGGAAGCCCAACACGGCTCCATCTCAAGACCCCAAGATCACAACCTAAGCCAAAGTCAGACGCCTGATCGACTGAGCCACCCAGGCACCCCTATTTTTTTAAGTTTATTCATTTAAGTGATCTCTACACCCCATAAGGTTCTCAAACCGACCACCTGGAGATCGTGATCACATGCTCCTCCGACTGAGTCAGCCCCTCTCCTTTTTTAGAACCTTCGTTTTGGGATCTGTAAAATGGGACCATAAGTGTTCTCTGGCCTGTCCTGGGACCCTCGGTGGGTGCTCTTGTGTCTGTGACACCAGGATGGCCACTCCTGGTGCCAGAGGCAGTTGTGGGAATTACTGGGACTGGGGGACCAGTGCCTGTCAACATTCTCCTTGGTGTTGTTGTTATGCTTCCAAGTCCAGCCCAGGGCTTTTTCTTAGACTAATAGGAAGCCAAGGCCTCCAACAGGTCCCATTCTTATTCAAAAGGTTTTGCCTCCTTTTCAACTATTGGATCAGCATATTATCTTAGGACCTTGCAAAACAAATATTTTCACCTGCCCCTCCCTTGAGGACTTCTATCCCTTATCTGTCCCCAAAGGTCCCTCTTCATCTGTTCCACTAGTGTTTGTTGAATGCCTACTATGTGCCGAGCATTGTGCCTTCAGCCTCGAGACCCCTCTGGAGGCATTCTCCCGCATGTCGGGCTTTTCTGGCTGGTGAGACCCGGTGTCATTGTTTCCCTTCTGCGAGACTCAGAGATTTGGAGAGGGGCTCCTCACTCCTGCCAGTGAGGCAACCTGTGGCTTTCAGAGGAGGTCAGGATGATCCAGCCTTTGTGGGGCTTAGAGGTGGTGTGATGTGGGGGTCCTCCAAGGATTACAAAATCGCAAGAGGCCAGATGGAGGCCCGAGGGACGAGGGACCAGGGGGCCCTGAAGTTTAAACTCTGTTGGTGTTTACCAAGGATTATCTGTTGGTGGTCACAGATCCTGATCTTTCCTCTGATCCACCCTATAGCCCTGCAGGTGTAGGGTGGGGTCAGCCGTTTCAGAGATAACACGGAAGGAAAAGTGGGCATCACTGCCAGTCACTCCAGAAATGGGAAGAAGGGGCCAGGGGCCCCACCAGGTAGCAAGTGGCACAACTAGGGGGAGGGGAGCTCCCCTGGACCTGCTGTTCCTCTGCCCTCAGACACTGTGGAGCTGGACTCAGGTAAACAAGTCTTGTTGTTGTGTTCTTGGGACAGTGGTTACTTTGTAATCCCAGCCAGGCCTCTGCCTGCCTCAGCCTCCACCACACTCCCCTGCTCCACCTCAGCGACTGCCCCTACCCCTCCCTCCCTAACCAGCCCCAGGGCTGGGACCCACCCTACCTAGAACCTTTGTGATTCTCCTCCTCCCTAGGGGCTTTGCACCCCCGTTTCTCCCTAGGCCAGGAGCGGAAGGGCTCCTCCCTTACAGGCTGCTCCCACGAGGAAGGCCGGGGATGGGGGTGCAGTGGGTGGTACAGGTGGAAGGATGGGGCGTTGGAGGAGGGGGATGCTGCTGACGCTGTTTCTGCCAAAGCATCACTCTTGGTTTTCACGATTGTGAAATAAGCCGAAATATACCTACTTCCAGGTGGGTGCCAAGGCCGAGGGGTGAAGGAGGGAATGGGGAGGTTTAAAAATATATACATGTATATATTTTAAGTCATTTCTACACCCAAAGTAGGGTTCGAAACCGTGACCAGAACAGCGAGAGTCGCGAGTCGTAGGCTCCACCCACTAAGCCAGCCGGTCGCCCCAGGAATGGGGAGTTTTTATGGAGTTTGTTTTCACAAGATGGAATTATAGAGATGGGAGGTGGCGACCGTTGCACATTATGCAGGCGCTTAATACCACTGAGCGGTACACTTCAAACTGGTTAATACGGTAAATCGTGTCGTGTATTTCACCACAATAAAGAAAATCGAGAAAAACAAAACAAAACCTAACTCCCGAAACTGCTAGCACGGAGAGCATGACGGGGGGGGGGATCCCCGCTGTCGCTGGGTCCTCTCCGACGCCCAGTTTCCACTTGGTGAAATGGGCCTGGACCAAAGCCCCGGGCGGTCAGGACCCGCTCGGACGGCGAATGGGACCACCCGCCTGGAGATCCTGGGTCCTACACCCCGAACCCGCGGGAGGCCTCGCCCACGAGTCCTCCGCGGCGCCGGGGACTGCGCCCCCGCCGGACGGGCCACGGAGCGCACCGCGGCGGCGGCGAGCCCGGGCCGGGGATCGGGGCTGGGGGCGGGGAGGCGGCCGGGGGCGGGCCCGAGCGCTGCCGGCGGTTTATAAGCTCGCGCGCCGGCGGCGGCCGCGCACAGTTCGCGTCCCGGCTCCAGCGCCCCGCACCCGCGGTGAGTCCAGGTCCCGCCGCCGCCCCCGCTGCCCTGCACCCCGCTGCCCTGCGCCCCGCGCCCCTGCACCCCGCTGCCCTGCGCCCCTGCACCCCGCGCCCCCGCGCCCAGCCCGGTAGATGGGCGCCCAGGGTGCCGAGCGGCGGGCAGCTTAGGGACCTGTGCCCAGGTGGTTCCAGCCCCGGGCGCCGTTGGGTGTGTCGCTCTCGGGACCCCCGGCTCCGAGACGCCCCCGTCCGGCGGGGCGTCCAGGTCCCCGCCTGCGATGGTCCCGGCCGCGGCGCCCCGGGCCCTCGGTCCCCGCATCGGCGCAATGGGGCGCCCCCCCCCCGCGTCGCCAACGGCTCCGGCTCCCACCCCCTCGGGGGAGGGGGTCCCCCCCGCCGAAACCGGGAAGATGGCGTCGGGCGCCGCCGCCCCCCGCCCCGGGGCGCCCCGAGTGGCCGCGCACCTGCGAAGGGCCGGGAGAGAGGCTCCGGCGCGGGCGGCGGGGGCGCCCGGAACAGGAACTGCGCGCGGAGCGGGGCGCGGCCGCCGCCCGCACCTGCCCCGGCCGCCGCCCGCACCTGCCCCGGCCGCCGCCCGCACCTGCCCCGGCCCCGCGCAGGGGCGCCCCGCCTCGCCCTGCAAACCCGCTGCAGCGGCCGCGGGCGCGTCCCACCCCGTGACCCCGAGGGCTCCCGCCGCCGAGCCCCGCGCCGCCGAACCCGCCCGGCCGCCTGGGCGCCAAACCGCCGTGTCTGCCGTTAGTCGTTTTACTGTAATTTTCGCTGAATGAGCCGCCCCGGGGGCGCCGCTGCACGTCACCCCCGCCCCGCACCCACTGTGGCCCGGCCCCGATCGGGTTTTCTCCCCGAGGCTTCGCCCCGGCTCCCCAGGAAGGGAGGGTTGTGAGCCGTATCCTGGCCGCTCTCCAGAGACTGGAGGCTTCGTTTCACAGGTGGTCAAAGTGAGACTCGCCTCCAGGAGGAGGCCGCCTAAACGCCGTCAAACCAAAAGCCCAGGGCTGTTTTCTGGGAGCCCGGCCAAAGCTCTCCACCCAGCCACTGTCCAGCTGTGTTGTCCTACAGGGGCTGCTCCCGCCTCTGGGCCTCAGTTTGCTCATTCCTCAGAATGGGTCCATGAGGTCCCCGCCAGCTGTGAACACCCACTTGGTGTTGGTGGCTCTTCAGTGGCTTCCCTTGGCGCGAATGCTTTGACCTTGTGTCTGCTTCTCTTGGCATGTTTTTGGGGTAACGTCTTGGCAGTGGCACCTTTCAGGAGTGGATTGGTGTGGTTTTTGCACTGGTTCCCTAAGTGGTCTGTCTCAGGCGGTGGCTGGGCGGGGACTCCAGCCTCAGCTCTGGTTGTTGGTGCTGCCCTTGCCCACAGCTTGGCCTCTCCTCCACCCTTCCCTTCTCGATCCAGGATTTGGGGATTTCCCACCATTTGAACCTCAAGGTCACAGGGCTGTCACTGCCGGCTTTAGCTGCGGGGTAGGGCTCTTACCGGCGTCAATGCTCTACGAATTTCATTATGCTTGTTTTTGGTTTGAAGTGTCTAAAGCACCTGCGAGACTGGCTTCCAGGATGTGGGTGTTCACTCAGTGCCTCAGAATGTGCCCCCCCCCAGGGGAATCCTATTTAATCAACCTTCTAAGATGGTTGCCAGGCGATTTGGGGGGGTGGTGGTAGGGTGGGAACTGTGTCAGCAAGGGTGTTTCTCCAAGCCCCAGGGATCCCGTGAGGCCTAAAACAAATGGAGTGATGCACTTAGCACCGTCCCTGTAGGTGTCATCCTTCCCTGGCTCCGTTGGCTTGCTTGCCTCCTCTGAGAAGTCTTCCCTGACTACCTCCTCTATTAAAGGTGCAGCCCTTCCTCCGTGCAAGGAACTCATTGTACTGTTTCAGGACACTGGAGACAGATTGAAATTACCCATTTGTGCTCACTTAGCATGACGCTCGCATGCAGCTCCATGAGGACCGTAGGACCAATTGTCGCACTCAGCGGAGTATCCCCAGCAGGTGGCACAGCCTGGGCCCACTGGGAAGAGGCTGGACGGAGGGTTGCATGCCTGTTACGTACCCCCCAAGTTTCACAAGGCGGTTGGCAGGTATAAAAGCTGGATTTGCTGAGCTGCAGAGAAACCAAGAGAGCAGCATTAGCTCGTTCTTTTCCTCTCCTGATGGGCTAGGATGTGGAAGGGGGTGCTCGGAGGATGGCTCCATCCGCTGGTTGGGTCTCCATGCTGACCTCGGAGGTATTTTCCCCTCTCCCTGGAAAGCATCCTGTTTTTAGTGAACCTATTAAGTTTGTAGACAATTAATGGTTTCTTGCTTCCCCTGCCTCGAACATAGTGGATCCCACGAGAGTCCGGCTGTTTTTTTTCTCTCGGCTCAGAACAATTCCAAGAGGTTTCAAGGAAGTTGCCGGCACGCTCGGGTTTTGTTGTTGGCAGCCACCAGGAAGCCTACAGTGGGTCTAGAGTGGACATGTGGAGCCGCTCCCTGGTCTCTTTGTCCTGCTGCTGGTTGGCCGGGGCCAGGCCCTGGGAGAAATACAGAATGTAAGCAAATGAGGCCACGGCCCCCAGTTCCTCATTGGCATTGAGGCTGGCAGCAGAGAGGCCAGGGCTGGTGGTCAGCGCCCTGAGGCGGGCTTGGAGAGGACAGCTGATTTTCCTAGTGTCAATATTAAGATGTGACAATACAAAACACCCGCTGGGCCTTGCCGGGCACTGCATGGGTAAACCTGTTTTTCTGGAGGTGGGCGAAGATGGCCTGTCACCCAGACTGAGAGGAAGCACGGGCTCTAGAGCCCAGAGCAGCCCCCCTGGCTCCTTGGGGAGCATCACTGGGATACGGAGAGGGAGAATTGAGAGTTTTTGCCCCTCCCCCTGCCCCTCAGAAGTTAGCATTTGTGTGTCTGTGGCTTGGAGCTCAGGAGAAGCCAGATCAAGGTGAGCACAGATCTGCAGAGTTGCCCATGTATGGACGATGACACATCAGGAAGATCCCTGCTCTGTGAGGTGGTCAGCATGGTATGCGCCTCTTCTGAGCTCCAGACTCATAATAGTTTGCCATTAGTGGGCACTCCTGGGTACCATACACGCAGCCTCTGCGGCCTCCTCCTCACAGCAGCACTTCCTGCTGGGCTCTTGAAGGGCGAGGGTGTGTCAAGTCCGGGGTCTCCTGTCTCTGTGAGCCCAGCTCCCTTGTTCTGTTTCGCAGTATATCACCTGCCCCTCCTGCCCCCTCACTGTTCCCGATCGCTAGGCCCCTGTTCTGAGCAGGGCAGACAGACAGGTAAACATTTCAAGAGAGTCAGATGGGCCAAGTGCCCAATCCAGGTCTGTTTACCAAAGGTGCTGGGACCCACACGGAGGAGGAACAATTAATTCTGTCTTGGGGAGGGCGGGGAGGAGGTGGGCTCTGGGCCAGGCCTGAAGGAAGAAGCAGGCCCCCTGTACCAGCCTGGGGGAAGGAGACGAGGGCCAGAGTGTCAGGCTTGAGGGCTCAGGAGGGACAGGGCGAGTCTGGTGGGGGGCTGAGGACTTTGTCCCAGCGAGGAGGGGGCACAATCTTTTACTAATTTTAAATACTTCCCAAGAACTTATTTTTATTTATTCATTTATGGATTTTTTTCTTTAAAAAAATTTTTTTAAGTAATCTCTATGCCCAACGTGGGGCTTGAACTCACAACCCTGGGATTGAGAGTCATATGCTGTGCCGATGGAGCCAGCCTGGTGCCCCAAAAACTTCTTTTAATATTCATGCTTTTTAAACTTAAAAACTGCAGGCCTACATAGTATCTTGGCACCCTGCCCTTCCTGATGGGGATAGAAGAGCATAGGGTTCCCCTTGGATCCCCTTTTCGGTGTCAACAAGGACTTTGGGATCCCCCTGGGTTTTCCTTGCTCCTCCTCCCCCAACGTGGGTTCCATTCACTCCGCCGTCGAACTGTGTATGATAACAAAACACCACAGACTGGGTGGCTTATAAAGTACAAATGTATTTCTCACTGTTCTGGATGCTGGAAATCCAAGGTCAGGGTGCCACTGACCTCCTGTATCCTTGAGTGGGGACCGGGGACGGGATGGGAGCCCTCCTGGGTGTCTCTTAGAAGAGCACTAAGCCCATTAGTGGAGCCGACAGCATCTCATTGCCTCTTTCAGGCCCCACCTCCTGATACCATCACCCTGGGCATTACGAATTTGGGAGTGGACACAGACATTCAGGCCACAGCAAACTGGTGTGAAGCCAATTTCAAAATCAGTCATCCAGAGAATTTTTTTTTAATGTATTGATTTATTTCAGATAGAGCAAGGGAGAGAGCACAAGTCGGGAGAGGGAGGGGGAGGGGGAGGGAGAAGCAGGCTCCCCACTGAACAGGGAGCCCAGGTCTCCGACGTGGGGCTTGATCCCAGGACCCCAGGATCATGACCTGAGCTTAAGGCAGATGCTTACCCCACTGAGCCACCCAGGCGCCCCCATCCAGAAAATTATTAATCTGTTCTGCTTTCTCCAGTTTGGAGGATCTTTATAGATACTTGGGCAGGAAAGGACAGAAATAAAGTCTCCCCAGTGGTAGTTTTGCAGACATGGAACTAGGGGTCCAGAGGGGCTAAGGAACATGTCCAAGGCCAAACGGCCAGGCTGGACCAGGACCCAGGTGTCCCAGCGGCTGAGTACCCCCTGGCACAGCTTCCACCTCCGCAGGCAGGTAGTGAACAGAGGCGGTGAGACCTGGACATTTGCATACGTCGCATCGCTGCAGGCCTTGCAGCAGCTCACCTCACTGTGACTTCTTTCCCCGTTGTTACAGACCCACCTCTTTCCGTTTTTGCGGTGACCTGCCTGTCCTAATGTGGATTCTGGGGGGGGGGGGGGACGGTGGAGGGGGCGCTGGTTTTGCATCATTTCCACTAACCTACCTGAGCGCCCTGAGCCAGGCCCAGAGGGGGGCCTCCCCGGGGACCTGCCGCTGAATCAAGCCTCAGCGACTCCCGCCAAACTTTGACC